TGACTAAAATTAAATCATAATAAAAATATTATGTTACAGTTATTATGAGTAGTTATTAAAATATCAAGCAGAACATGTTCGCCATCATAGTATTACATTTAAACCAAGAAAAGGGAACAGCAGCTATTGGGCTATTGGTTGAAACAAGGCAACAGGCATATGAATCTCTGCCCACACTCAGTGGGTGTGCAGGGCCCTCTTAAGGGGGTACTAAGGGGGTGGAATCAGCGACAATACAAACAGGCTACAGTGCCCCCCTTGGTGCTGGCTCCTGCCTTGGCGGGGCTCAGGGCCCCTCTCTGCTGCAGCAGACAGATTGAGCTAACTTTTTATTTTTGCTGGAATCAAGACGCCCAAAACAAACTTGCATGCATGTTCAGTCAGGCAGCAGCACCCTCTGCACCCTCTGCTGGCTACACTACAGTGAGTGTGTGATCAGAGCTCAGACCTTCAGAGGAGGAGTGAGGTTTTCGCATCAGTATGCAGATATGTAAATCAGGCTTTCTTGCCCCTCCCCTCAAACCCCTCCTCTCCAAACCGAAATGGTGACATAAAGGTGAAACTGAAAACCAGGGATGCTGACAAAAAAACTGACAGCTTAAAAAAAAACTGTCAAACTGTCACTGTCAGGGACAGACATAAACAAATCTGAAGTTGACATTCAAAAACACAAAACAAAATACAAAAAGTAAAACAATATATATTTTTTATTATAATTATTATTTAGTTCAAGACTTGTTTTCAATGCGAAATTGTTTTATCAGTGCCAAAACGTATTAACACTGTTCTAGCACATATAGCTGGGGCTCCTTGTCACATTTCAGATCTCAGTTGTTTGCAGCTACAAAGACACATTTCATCTTTAGACCTTTTAGCATTGTTGCCTGATAATAATGTTACAATAATACATCAGTCACAGAGACAAAACAGGTCCTTTTACTTTGATACAAGGTACATTTTGCTGAATACTTCTGTACTTGAGCAAGATTTTGAAAACACAGTATTTATAACAGAGTATTTTTACATTATTGACATGGTACTTTTACTAAATTAGTTGAATATTTCTTCTGTATAAAATATAACATATATTTTATCTGAACCGGATGACTTTTCATATATGAACATATTTATTCAGTTATTCAAACCAAAACGAAGGTGAAATGTATCAAATTCACTTTGTATATATTTAGTACCCAAGTATTGTACAATTTTAAGGTACTTTCCCTTTTCTACTTCTACACCACTACAACTCAGAGGGAAATATTACACCTTTTACTCATTTATTTACATTCTACATTTATTTGACTTTTGTTACTTGTCATCACTTTGCAGAATCAGAACAGATTAGGAAAATAATGAACTAATAAATTATGATGTATTATTATAGATTAAGATGACCTTTTATTGATCCTCAGGGGGTAAATTCACAAGCTACCAAGCAATATATCAAGTAATTAAAATGAGCTCCACCTTTAGCAGCTGCAACATTAAAGTGATACATTTCATGGCAATCCATCATAGTAAACATATAATAAAACTTAATTTAATCACATTCCTCATTTAAGCATATACAAGTAAAACAGTATTTGTTTCTGATGATTTTCTGGCTGTGTAGGACTGACAGTTTAGTTTTTTTTTATACTTGGGCAACTTATCTCCAAAGACACAACATTTGTTAAACATAGATAGTCAGCACCATCAAACTCCTCCTATAGCACTGGTGAAGTCTTATGTAAACCAGCTCAACATGAACACTCATTCAGTTCCTGTTTTGCAGCGAACACTCTCTTGACTTTAGTCAGAGGGTCTGTTTTTGAAAAGCACCAACACAGGAAGATGTGGTCTCTGTATTGTTTCCCTCCGCTGGCGTGCCTCATCTGCGGTTGATCTGGGATGATCTAGGACACTGATAACTGCAGATATCGGTAAGACTTATATTTCTCACTGCTGTTTACTTCTTCATTTTTTATCTCTTTTTATGTTTCGCAATCTTTACACTATGTTCCATGTAGCTGTATGTCCCCTGCCCGTGTCAAGTTGGCCAGAGTGCCATTTCATATATTTTTTAATTTCATATATTCTCTCTTTAGTAGGAACAAGGCTCTGTTACACAACTTCCATCAGATCTAACTGCAAAGTATTATTCAACCTCTGCAGATTTCCTGTTCCTCTTCTTTTAAAAGCTCATATCAGTGTATTCAGAGTTACACAGCATACTTATGTTTAGTATTAAATAGATTAATGAGGTGCTGAAAGGAGCCTCAGCAGTACAAATTTAGCTTTATTGAAAGATAGTGTAATAAGTATAATCAAGGTCTCTTTATAGTCTAGGGGACACCTCTTAATGTGCTTGTTTGTCTTTTCACTTTGACATATGCAATTAAAGCAACACCTGTGTTTAAATCCTCTTAATGTTTAAAGAAGCCCGAGCACTAATTTTGCACTGTGTCAGTAACAGTCACTTTTGCATGGCAGGGCTGGATTATGTAGCCTAACATAATACAATGGAATAACACCTGCTTCCTCAGTAGACAATTGACAGGCTTGCTTGCAGAAGATGGATTAAGCATTTGCCTGTGTTGCCCTGCTGCACGTAAGATTTGCTTGTCTTCGTGGTTCAACATGTTGTATGTCCGTGGTAGTCATTTTGTGCTTTGCAGTTCAGGAGTTTCAACTTATTTTACTCTTAGACTCATACATCAATCTTGGCTGACTGTCATGCTAGAGGGCTAGCCTCTATGGAAGAATTGTGGTGTGCACGGCACATCAACAAGTCTGGAAAAAGATAGAAATTAGCTTCTAATTTGGAGATAGCTCCACGTATTGAGAAAGCCGGAAAACCCACATTCTGCAAATGAGACCACATGAAAACTGGCTTGCAAGTGAGCAGAGAATTAGAAAAGGAAAAAAGTTAAGTTAAAAAGCTGAAAAGTATTGGAACAATGGTTAAAATAGTTAGCTAAAAGTAATGAATGGGTTAGGTCCAGCTGATGTATAATATGTGAATCAGCTAAAAGTAATGGACAAATAAATAGTTAACTAAACTTCATGGATTAATGGTTGAATTGTTTGTTTCTTCCACTAGTTAAAAAAAGAAAAATACTATCTCTGACAGTTGTATGAAAAAGTACTGTAATAATATCTACTTGTATGTAGTTGATAGTGTAAAATAACATCCAGTTTAAGAAACATTTAAATGAACATATTTGGAACCTGACTGGTGGTGTTGTGAAAGAGTAGGCTACTTGAGTTCATCAGACAAGGTTGTGGTGGTACAGCAGACAGAAAGATACTGGAAACCACTGCCCTACTCACATACATACTCTTCACTGACCGTACACTTCAGCTGGTAAAGAAGCAGTTTCTGCCTTTGTCTGGACTTAAGAAAGCAACTGAAGGATTCGTTTGCTTTCCGGAAGGCCTTTCCTGTTTTGATGGGCGCAGGTGACCCCAGTTCTCCAGTTGTGTCACTGCATCCATTATTCAACACTGGTCACAGTGACACATCTGCCACAGCTGGGCACAATTACTGCTTCCGTATGCACTTCCTGGAGGCCAAATATACTTACCAGGGAAAATATTTTTTCTCATTAAGAAGGATGTGGAAGTCTAATTTGATTTTTTTTTTTAATTAATCATAGCAGGCACTGCTACAGACCCTGCCTAGAAAAAAACCTGCCTACTTTTCCTATCTCTAATGAAATGTTGTTGTTTCCAAAAAATGGTCTGTTTCATTGTTTGCTCAGTGTGGTTTTAGTTGTTTGTGTGTTTGGACTCTAACCACAGGTGTGTGGTCTTTCAGCAAATTCCAGAAATTCTGTGTTTTGTTCATAACTGTTGTAGGGAGACTGTGGTAAGATGAGCCATTTTTCATATTTAGGATCACTACATCAAGGCAATCATAGTTTTGTCGCTAACTAATATATCTGCATATATTTCAGGATGAAAACAGAATGAGTGTAAACATAACTGTTTCGATAATATAGCATGTCCAAAGAAAGTGGTCTCGTGGCTCAACTTACCCTGTGTATGGGGTAAATTGAGCCGTATCCCTACTCGCCCCCCCCACCCTCCTCCCTACCTCCACCCCACCCCTCCCTCACCTTCTCCCTCCCTAAATAACACTCACTTCTTCACATTCATGTGTATTTTTATTTATTATACACAATTCAACAGGTACAATAACTTTTTTTTATTATTATTGCATATTACTGCTAAACAGCTGTTTTGTAAAAAAACATTTTAACATGAGAAGGCCTTAAAGTGCGCTTAGGAAGAGAACATTAACAGCTGTGTTTCTGGAATATACACAGAATATGTTTTTGGATACACTTATTAAGTATATTTTGGCTGTAGCCACCGGCTCAACTTACCCCTGGCCAAATGGGTCAACTTACCGCAGAGCTAAGATTTTGACTTTATTAGTCCCCACAGCTAAAATGGTGCACTTTTATGCTAGGTTTATGACCTCATGTTGTAGCTCATAGATACCACAATTGATGTATAAAACAAATTTAAAATGTTCTTCTTTGGTCTAAACACAATTCTCATGAAAACTCATGATGGACAAAATTCACTTTCAAGAGTGAAAAATGTTTTTTTAGAAGTAACCACTTTACCCATGTGGATCTTACATTCACAGACTCCATGAAATGATGCCTTCCTCCTAATTATTTGGTAACATGATCAATGTTTTTTACCATTTCCTAGCAACAAGGGGTGGCTCAACTTGCCCCAGTCTCCCCTACTTGATGGGGTTTCGTTGCTTTAACATAGTTGAATGATTCTTTCATCTTTGCTATAAACCCCTTAAATTCTTGTCTTTACTTGTTAACAAAACTCATAAGGATCGAATAGGAAGTTGTCCTTTGGAAAGATTCATTTCCATGCATCTTGTGAGTCATATGAAATCTGGTGTCAGCAGCTGATATTAAGAATGAAAAAGTAGAAGTTGTGGCTGCTGTTTTCGACCAGCTCATCTCCGGTCCACTCGCACAGTCAGTGACTCACTGGTTTTGGTAGGAAGTGGCAGAGTGTATTTTCTTCCTTGACGTCTTTGCCGTGGACATTTGTGTTTGCATTTAGTGCGAGGGAGCAGCTTTTACGCTGGATTGCGTTTGATTGTTTCTGGAGGGGGACAATAATGATGTTAACGTGTTGGCAAGAGCAATAACAGGAAGTTTGGACTACTGAAGAGACATAATATGTTGTTTTACCGGAACACAATAATAGGTGTAATTCTTGTTGTTATTTTGGGACTTCCTGGTTGTTTATCTTCTGTGTTTTTCTGTGGACGTTGGGATGCCTCTGCAGAAGAGCATGCAGAAGATGGAGCAGAGCTCTTGCACAGAGGATCGTATCCAGCATGTCCTTGAGCGTTGCCTCTGTGACCTCGGTCTCGATACTCCTGACAAACAACTCTGGAACGGTAAGACCCTATCCCATAGCTTTAACGTTAACACAATGCAGAAACAAGGCTAAAATATGATACAGATAACACAACCTGGGTCCTCAGTTCAGAAATTTACATCTGAAAAAAAGTAGGCTGCAGATGTGTGTTAAAACTAGTGTTGTTAGAAACAGTTTGTACATTTCCTGACACACTGCTGCGGAATTAACTGAATAATGGAGGCAGAAAGAAGATTTTTATCTTGTTAAATTGTGATAACCAACACCCAGCTAACCTATTGCGAACATACTGTCTATCTTAGAGAGACAAATGGGAATTGAAAGTGTTGACACAGAGAATGAGAAATAGAGACAGCATGAGGGAGTATAATGTTGGCTAATGCAAGATCATGTTGAAATACTTCATTCAGAACTTTGGCAGCGGGGGACAGCATAATCATTTTGCTTTCATTCAGCGCATTTCTGAATATTAGTTGTTAATGTGTATTGTAATGTGTCAATACTGCCTGTCGTCAGAATGAAACCTAAAAGGAGAAATAAATTCAAGTTGTGTATTTCTGTTTGTCTGACTAGCTGGGCTGTGCATAAACCGCTGGTGTTTGGAGGAACTTGTCAAAAGAGATGCCCACAACTTCCTCATCCTTCTACAGAAAATACTGAGGAAAACAAAAGAGGTCAGGAGCTGAACCACCAACACCATTATCCAGTCAGTTCAGCGTAATATCATGAATGGTAGTGTGTTTCAATTCAGTTTTTCTGTCTTTTACAGGTGCTAGAGCAGTGTCGGTATGAACTGGTGGTTCCCCTCACTCTCCTGTTCTCTTCCACCCTTCTAAAAGTGAGCGGGTTTCATTTATAATCAGTAGAGGAAAGTGGGCTGATGGGTATTCATTGCACATTAAGATATTTATATTATTCTATTTCTAATTTTACCTGGTTAATTGTTTCTTCTTGCAGGCTCCTCATGTGGCTTCAGACTGCAGCGTGCTGCAGGAGGCCTACATGTTGTTCCATAGTTTCCTGGCCTGGCCTGAGCCTTGCAGCTCTGCCAGTAAACGTCTGCTGAAACTCATCCAACAGGAGCTCAGAGCACCAGGTAGCACTGAAGCTCTTATGTACTGCATCTAATCTGCCTAAGTGTTGGGCAAGTTACTTTTAAAAAGTAATTAGTTACAGTTTCTGGTTGCTTCTTCCAAAAAGTAACTAAATTAGTTACTCAGTTACAAATTATAAAAGTAACTAGTTACTTCAGAAAGTAACTATTGCGTTACTTTCAAGTAAATTTTTAAATGCTCAAATGTGACCCCACCTCCACCCCTCTTTAACGGAACTTAAAATACATGTGCATGTTCAATTATTTATGATAAATCTGAATATTATAATGAAATGGACACTTAATACAATACATTATTAACAGAAACAATGTACACAAATCTAAACTATTTTAATGTTGCTGTGGGACAAAGGGAGACTAGCCTCCAATCAAATGCCGTGTATGTAGATATTATGTTTATATAGTGGATCGATACAAATAACACAATAGACGTTTTGGAACTTTTGATATTTATTGCCCCTCAACAGGCCACAACTGGGCAAAATTAAATTATGCTTGTTAAGCACTATACCAAAAATAAATAACAAATATATACACTCTTTGTAGTGCAAATAAATAAAAAAAAACTTCATACAATTGGTAGATATACTGTACTTCAAGTATTTTCTTCCTCGAAAAAGTACAACAGTGTAACAATATGAGGTGCTTTCGATCTAACCGAAAAGTACAATGTATAGCAAAACTAAGGAATCCAAATATAAATAGGTAATACATAAGAAATAAAAAATACATCTCCATAAAAATAAATCTCTTTCTCTGGCCATTGACAATCTCACTTCAAGAGGCTGCATCCAGCCAACAAATAAATCTAAATTAAATGATGCTTTTTAAGCAATGTACCAAAAATGTATTCAAACAATATTTACACTCTTTTTAGTGCAAATGTAATAAGATGCAACACAACTCGCCATAGCTGTCTCTCGTTGACTGACTCGCTTGTGTTGTTCGTTGTGTGTCCGACTATGCGTACTTTCGAACACCCGCCCAACTCTACCTCTGATTGGCTTACCATGAAATTTTACTCAACCTCAGCCAATCGTCAGCATTTATGCACTTGTCTCGTGCAATGCCCACTAACCAAGGAAGAACAGTAAAAAAGTCTTTGCCTCTCGGCTTAGAGATCTAGTTGGTCTGATGAAAAAAACAGCTTCAATTATAGTAACGCGCCGCATTTTTTGGCAGTAACGGTAACGGCGTTATTAAGCTGGGAAGAGTAATCAATTAGATTACTCGTTACTGAAAAAAGTAACGCCGTTATTCCCATCACTGCTAATCTGCACTAGTCATTCCCCATCAGGGGTACTTGTACTTCTGCAGTTGCCAGAGGGTACATGGGAAGATTGTGCAGTAGCTCAACTAATGTAAAAAAATCCCCAGAAAAAATACTGTAACAATATATTATAACAATACTTCTACTCCACTACATTTATTTGATAACTTTAGTTACTAGTTACTTTACAGATTCAGATTATATATAACAAATATAAATCAACCAATAAATGATGATACCCAGAAGTATATCATGTATAAAATAAATATAGCCTAACCCTTTACCAGCTGCAACATTAGTGATGTTTGCACATTAATGCATCACTAATTATGATCCACTGATATTATATACTGTATATTATTCTTAAATGAATATTTTGATGCTAATACTTTTGTACTTTTACTAAAGTAATTGAATGCTTTTACTTTCTATGGTACTGACTACTTCCTCCACCATTATTCGTCATGTATCAGTGTGACCACATGGGGGCAGTGTTTATCTGCTGAGATATACTAAACTATCTGCCTATGTTTGCTTCAGGTATTTCATTTCAAAGATTGGTAAGGACAGAGCATGGTGTTTCCCCTGAGGTCCACTCCTCTAAAACCATGTAAGTCCATTCCAACTTTAATGCTAGCTATTAAGTATATTATCAAATACTGAATTAACACACATATTCTCACATCATTGTCCTCCTTGTGTATGGTGTGTGTGTTTATTTTATCAGAACAGTGCTGTTAGTGTGCCCAGATGAAGACGTCCCTCCAGAGATCCAGTCTGTCTCCGAGCAGCTGAGCAGCACCCAGCACTCCAACAGAGACGTCACCATCATCCTCCTCCTGCACAGCTTTAAGGCTGCTCTCACCAAACACGGCCTGCAGGGACTCCAGACTGCCTTGCAGGTGACTGATCAATGTCTACCACTTGTTTTGAATGCACAATTCCTCTTTATTTTTTCCCAGTCTCTTCCTAAAACAAACACCCAACTCTTCCTCCAGGCAAAGCGGCCCGAGGAGCTGGATCAGCTCATGGAGGCAGTGACTGACAGCATGGAGACAGCAGCCTCTACAGCAGACCTCGCCCAAGCTAGACAAGGTCTGCTACACGGCATGGAGAGGCTCAAAGAAAGCCTTGCTATCTCTGCTCCTGCTGATGGATGCCCGGATACTGGTAAGAAACTATTAACATGAAATGCCATTGATAAACTGGAGGGAGAATGCCATTTGCTTATTGTGCAATAAGGAAAAGTAGTTGTTTCCTGTATGCTGAACTTGCTTTTCAAGACAGTAGTCCTTATTTCATCTGAGTGTCTCCTTCTTTCATTAGAGGATGTTGAGACTTTCATGCTGCCCTTCCCGAAATGTCACACATGCACCTGGGAAAACGACAACTTTGGTAATTCGTTCAGTTTGAACAGCTCTCAAAATGCCGACATTATTTACCAGACATCTCTCTTTAACTGTTCTCACTTTTTGTTGTCCCTTTCTTCATTTAGATATTCTGAATCACATTCTCGGAAGCCAGTCAGACCTGGACTCACCTCCAGATTGTTTCCTCAAAACAGAAATAGAGGAGGATTATAGCAATGACACCAGTGTGGATGAGGAGGATGAACTGGAGGGGAACAAGGCGGACCATGAGTTTCAGAACCACCGGATTTCCACTGCGTCCTCTTCCTCGAGGGACTCGAGCTACTCCCTCTCTTCCAGCTGGTCTGCTGTCTCCACGCCGTCTGGCTCATCAGGTGTGGAAAGTGACTTCAGTGAGGACACAACACAAGAGGACACAGAGGAAGGACAACATGGCCAACCAAAGCTTAGAAAGAAACCCAAAAAGAAGTCCAGATCCCTCTTGGGCGTGGAGCGCTTCTCCATGCTTTTTAAGAGTCCCGGCAGCCCGAGCATATGCCGCCGTGCCCAGAGTATGGGCTACCGTAGTGATTTTACCAAAGACTTTCATAGACCTGCATTGCAGCTCAAACACTCCAGGTCCCTGTCCAAAAAAGTTAATCCAATGCATGCATCCACTGCTGTCCTGGATCCTCTTTCCCCCCGGAAGCATATGTGTGTCCTCAGGAGGCCGATCCTGAGCTGTGACGAAGGCGATGTGGCAGAGGTGCCCACCCTGGTCAAAGTGGTGGTATTTGGAGGTGACAGGGAGGCTGGCAGGCTGGCCAGAGCATACAATGACCTGCAGCAGAAAGAGAGTAAATGTCCCAGACTCACCAAGACTTGCAAACTGCAGTTTTACTTTGTTCCCAGCAGAAGGAAAACAACAGGAAGTGCAGGAGGAGGACACACACCGACTGAAGGGCAGACAGGAAGTATAACCAAAGCTGCTGCCTCTGTGGTGAGAATATCTAACACTCTGTCACATGTCGGCTGATTCAGCTGTTTACACTTAACATTCACAGATACAGCAGAATTCCCTTTTTTATAATGATGCACCCTTTATAATGGGTGTATAAGTTATAACTAATGGCTTTATTCCTCGTTAATAAATGATTTACTAGTGTTTTCAAGATCAGTGATAATTCTTTAACTCTGACAGGAGTCTAATGGCAGTCTACTGGAAGACAGTACAACTGATATAGCCCAGATGTTGGGTACGATAGATCCCTGGTACGAGAGGAACGTCCTCAGTCTGCTCAGCCTGTCCTCTGACGTCCTTTGTCAGGTACCCTCCATACTGGCATCATCACCTTTCTCTGGTCCATACATTACATAATAAGGGAAGAGAGTAGCTGATTTACTCTTATTAACGACAAGAAGCAACTGTATGAGTTCCGACATTCAGCAATAATGTAGGGACAGTAAACAGCTCACCTCACAGACAAAAAGTGTTGTCTTCTTAGGGACTATATAAAAATTATTAGAGAAGAAGAAGAGGCGTTTGATAAGAGAGGGTTATGTATGTAGGGGAGGATCACGGATGGGTCTTTTAACTTTCTCTCATTCAAGATTTATTGTAAAAATTGTGGTGCTCAAGCCACAATATCCTAGGAACCACTGCATGTGCTCTGTTCACTCACCCTAAAAGGAAATATAAAAAATATAAGGGTCTTTCTATTTTTTAAAAACAGATATAAAATTCAGTCCCCCCTCCTCTCTACTCCCACACAATGGTGGTATTTTACCATTTCAGAGATCAAACGCTGGTTCTATACACCTCATACCACATGTGGGTTTGGTTGTATTGTGAACTGTATGCACACAACAATCTCATTGTGATCGCATATGTGTGTGAACCAGACTGCCTGTAAGGAAGGCGATGTGTCAGAGACCAGTGGCAGCATGGACAGACTTCCTCTGCTGGCTGACTTGGTGCTTTATTACTGTAGACATGCAGACCAACCTGTTCTGGTGCAGCTCTACCAGGCTGAGGTAAGAGGAGCACCACACACACACACACCCACACACACCCACACACACACACACACACACACACACACACACACACACACACACACACACACACACACACACACACAGTCTCTCACTCCAGTGAATACCTGTGTGAAATAATAAACAAATAGATATGGTTTCTTCCTCCACACAGCTTACCCTGGCGGGAGGAGAGAAGAGAAGGGAAGTGTTTATTCACTCTCTGGAGCTCGGACACACTGCTGGAACCAGAGCTGTTAAGGCCATGGGTGAGTAACACTCTGACAAACGCACCCAGGCAGCCACAATAGCATACAGACAAACACAAACACCCACACATATATTGTCTGATGTTTGCTGTCTTTTTGTAGGTGCTGCCAGTAAGAGGTTTGGAATTGATGAAGAACGGGAGGCTGTCCCTTTAACACTAAGTGTTGCCTATAACAAGGTAAAGTTCCTGCTTTGACACCCACAGACTTCCTGCAACACAAACAATATATACATTGAAGTTCACAGCCAGAGCTATTTTTTCACATCTGCCCCGTCTGGATTACAGGTGGCCGTTAGTGGGAGGAGTCAGTGGATCCAGACGGAGATGGTTTGCACATCAATAAATCTTTACAAAGCCTGCAGGAAACCTGAGCAGTTAGGTGTGTGACAGTGATACAGCGGTCCCAGGCTTTTAATCATGTGCCAGCAAATGTAGCAGTAGGTTTCTGTGTCTGCGTTGTGATTTCTAAGTAAAGATTTGTCCATTCCGTCCAGATACAAAAATAGAAAGTCTTCAGCTGACAATGACAGAAGTCCTGAAGAGGCAGTGTTCCAAGTCTAAAAAGGGCTACAACCAGGTGAATAGTGCTTTTACGTGTTGAAATGAATCACTATAATCTAATGCACACCCTCCCTGTGAAACACCCCCTTCTTACACCTCTTTTCCCTGCACGTGTCCTCTGGCAGCACATCTCCATATCCGAGGTGAAGGTGGACAGGGTGCAGGTGAACGGTGGAGACGATGGGACAACGTTTGCTGTGTGTCTGGATCAGGATGAGAAGAAGTTCATCCAAAGTGTCACCAGGTACAACAGAGCATCATCGCTGACCATCACGTGCTTAAACCTTTAACTAAGTACAGTATTCAAACAAACAGACTAGTCCTTCACTCAGCTTGACTTGTTAGAGTCATAACCTGTGCATGAATTTATCAGACCCATACACGGTGACTCTGTGTCTTCTGTTTGTGCAGGTGTGAGGTGTCTGTGTGCTGTAAACCAGGAAGCAGTTCAGACTGGAGGTCCTACAAGCCCTTACCTGGCCAAGTCCAGCCTCTGCACCCGTCCTACTGCTCTCTGCTCTGCCTTCCCATCACCTCTTTCTCTGCCTCATATCCCTGACATACTGTTTACTACTAAACAAATCCATGGAGGTGATTTACACAAGGAGGCTTAAACCAAAGCAACATGGGATGCAGAAGATACTAAATAGATTGTCAAAATGAAAGCAAAGAACAGTACTAATAAAAAGAGTGACTCACATAGATTTCAGGTTTATCCAGTAGCTGATGTCAAGGTGTGTCACTTTGTTATTAGGAGTTCTTACTTTTGAGCCTCCAGTTTTTTTTTCCCCTGATCACATCTTTGATTGCTGCAGTCACTGGATGAGATGGTTTTAGCAATGCTCGGTGGGCTCTTGAATACATTTTGGAGAAACACAGTTTTACCAGTGAACTTGCACTGCTGAAATATGCACAAGAATGTCTATTAATTGCTGTTGTTGGTGTTCTTGTTTGGAGGATTTCACAGGGTCTTAAAGGGATGTTACTTGTCAGTCAATAATCCGCTGTCAGAAGCATAAAACTGATTACTTGATTACTATTGTGTACGGTCTGTTGATCCATGACAGAGTAAATCCTTTTTGTTTTAAAGAAATGCATAATAAAATAAGCTATTTATTTTTATTTTTCAAAAATTACATTTAATTATGTTTTTGTATGTTACACAATTGCAATAAAATCATCATTCAGTCAGCTCTGTTTATTTTTTGTTTTCCCTGTTTAGAAGCGACTACTTTTAATGAACTTCCTCTTATGAGTCACTCACGCCCTGTCTCACTCATACAAGAAACACAACCTGCTACTATCACATAATTTTACATAAAGGTAGCAGCAGTGGAGAAATCTCCAGAGGAAACTCTTCTCCGACATTTAGAAACATAGAATACAATATAATACAACATACAATGGTAATCTCTGAATTGCTGCAGACTGTGTAACTTAGTTTCATTAGATTGATTCTAATGAGCAGAAGAGATGGTTGATCCTACAGGTAAGTGCTTTTATTTCCTCTTTAAGTGTTTGAAATTACTCTAATAGACAAAGTCGTTTTGCGGCAGGTTGGAGCTTGAAGTAGTAGAATGTCAACTTGACTGTGGTTAATCATGATAAGTGTGTAATCTTCACTTGTAGCTGCTGTGGTTCTTCCGAGTGTGGAGTCCAGCCTGCACAGCAACGTCCAGACTCTTCTCAAAGAGATGAACAGCCAAAGTGCTCCACAGAAAGGTATGTAAGGCACTTAGTGGCAAATAAGTTTGAATGTTTGAAAGCCTGAAACAATAACATAGTACAAGGATAAAAAAAATGATACCACTCTCATGTCTTCAGTAACTACCAGGCTGCCCCGGTTTGATACCTTTCTGACAGAGCCAGACTAGCTGTTTCCTTCAATTTCCAGTGTTTATGATAAGCTAAGCTAACCGGCTGCTCACTCTAGCCTTATAATAAAAGGACAGACATGAGAGTGGTATCTTTTTATCTAACTCTCAGCAAGAAAGCAAATAAGTGTATTTTCCAATATTTCAGATTTTATATAATAAAACAGAAAATGTATAATTTAGTTTAGTGCATTAAAGAACTAATTTCCTTCAAAAGCTTTTGTGGCTTCAAGTTTTGAGGTTTCACAATATCGTGGATCTCTGATGATTTAATTTGTATAATTAAAGTAATAAGATATTTTAAATTTGTTGCAAAAAGTGAAATGATCAACTCTGGACTGCATGCCCCTAGATTATTAGCTAAATTTGTTTCACACTGTGTAATGTGCACGGATAATTATAAAGCAAACTGCTGTTTGTCTGCTCTTCAGGAAGGCTTAGATGGAGTCTTCATAAGAAGTTGGAGGGCGATCCATCCCGCAGCGATTCACTGATCCGAGAGCTGGTCAAAGAGCTGGAGAAGAAGCTAAAGGGTGTTAGCCAGGTTTGCTCCTTCAACTCTGCTTTCACATTTCAAAGTCAACTTCAACATTTCTTTTAGATTTCCAAAAGCTTGTATGTTTCTCTCTTTGTCGTCAAAGATTTCTTTAACGGCATATAAAGCTAATTTTAATGTAACTTTGTTTTTATGTTTGTTTCCATACAGATGAATAAAAGACAATCCTACATGCATGTCATCCCAGTGCTGCACACTCTCTACTATGTGGTTATTCAGGTAAGGCACAAAGAAAAAAAGCGTATAACTGTGGACCAACACACTACTGAGTATGCATTATTTGTAAGTAAGTAAGTATTTGTTGTCTTATTGTGTCTCTCCAGTCAGGTGCCATGATCCCTACCAGTCTGTACCAGGTGGTGTATGAGTGTTTGATAAAACTGCTGATACTACCTTTACCTTACTCTGCTGTGGCCCTGAGCACTCTGAGGAGCATCAAGGTGGAAATGATCACACCAGGTATTGTACATTATCTCAGGGCACACACCTTCAGAAACACAATCCAGTGCTGTTTGATGCTGTAAAATAAACTAATCTTTCACTCAACAGGCTCCTTGTATCAGATGAGAGTTATTGCAGAGCAAAACCTGAAGAATGAGCATTTCACTTTGCAAGAAAAGTGAGTATATCAGATTAGATTAGATTATACTTTATTCATCCCACAACGGGGAAATTCACTCATCACAGCAGCAAGGCAGAAACAAAAGATATAATGTAATGTAATATGTAATATACACTACCGAAATAAGATAGAATGGGCTGTGAATCATCCTCTGAATGACTATCAACTTGAACTTGAATTTATGAAAATGGTGCAGACATTAACTCTAAATAAGCTATTTTATCACAACCACTGTCTCCTTCCCTGTCTGCCGATTTGTCCAGGGTGTTTGTGCTTGCTGACCCAGCTGTGTTTTCTGTTCGACTGGAAGCAACAATAAGAGCGTACTTGGAAGTTTCCAGCTCTCTCAGGAACACACCAGCAATGGAGAAGAATGTGGTGCTACGTGTGCTGCAGACGGCGCTGGGGACGATGAACGGCCAAAGCTCCAGACTGGCTCAGTCTCTGGACGTAAGCAGGTTTATGTTAGTTAAAGCCACCAGTCGACTCGTTGTCAAATGTTTATTATATTAATTGAATCATTTAAATATATATATTTCAACAGCTGCCTTTTAAATTCTAACAGGAAAAGCAGTAATTAATCTGAATGTGCCAGAACAACCATCGAGGAGACTGAACATTTTGCTCAGTGTTGCCTGACTCTGGCTATGCTCATTCTGGCCATGCTATAGTGATGTAAAGAAACCTGTACCGGCACTTCAAGCTCAAAGTCCGGGGACAGTCAGCTAAAAGGACTGCCAACTAGCCAGTGGCAGCGGCTAGTACAGATAGCATATGCAACAGTGCATCGCTAAGAGACTTCCTGTGTTACATGAGAAAGGGATTTTTTAGCATTAGAGTTATCTTGAGAAATTTGCGCAGAGGTGTTTATGATCGCAATCACTCATGAACTCCAGGTTCAGGGGGCTCACTGAACCCCCTACTGGTCATAGCCAAAAATGCAATTGTTAAATTAATAAATATGTTGAAACTAAAAAACTACTCAAATGACAAAAGGACATGTATGAAAAACAGCTTTCTCTAATATAAAGAGCAGATGTGTAAACCAGAACCCTCTTTTGTACTCGTTTTCCTCTAGATTTTTTATTTATTTTTAATCCCCAACCTTAAAGTTCAGACTTAAAGTTCAGACTATTTGATTGAGTTACCATTTAATTTGGTACAGCACTCATTTCCCTCTCAGGATGAATTTTAACAACAGAGTAACTTTGGTGACCCTTCCTCTAAAGCCATCATCAGTTAAAATTTGTTTGTCCAAAACTAATGAAATTCCCATCAGCCTCAGCTGTTCTTTGTGCTTACTTCTAATTAGAAATGCTACCATGCTTACATGCTAAACTAAGATGGGTGGTAAACATTATAACTGCTTAACATTAGCATGTTAGGATTGTTATTGTGAGCACATTGCCATGCTAGTGGCATTTAGCTCAATGCAGAGTTGCATGGCATGGCTGTATGGTCTTCATTTTAATTCTCACTTAACTTCAGTTTTAAGTAGATATCTTTGTTCCAGGTTTAAATCAAACCATGTGTCTTCTGTGTATTTCAGGCTTTAGAGGACCATATGATAGAGAAATATTTTCAGGAAGTGGTTCTAGCTGTTGAGCAGAGTATAAAGCATGGTGCAGGTGGTCATGCAAACTATCTGAGCAAACTACAAGACATATACAGAGACATCCTGACTGCCTCCAAAGAAGGTGTGTGTTCTGCACTCTGCTATTGTTGTACAGATTAATAATAACAGGGATAAGATCATTTTGACAGGATTGCTGTGTTATCTTTACATTGTTTGCACAGAAATAACCAAGTTAGATCACGGTACTGTGTGCGGCCCTGCGATGCCCTTTCCAGAGATCAACTTCCTCATGTGGAAATATGAAGAGGATCTGTGTGAGTCAGTCAGGCAAACAAACAACAAACTTCCACTACTTTACATGTCTGTTAATAAGGGATCCAGTTGCTGCAGTAAAAATGTAAACTAAATGTATCTTTCCTGAAGGGAATCTACTGACAGACTTCGCCCTGGGTTGCTGCCCTAACTCTGGTGTTGATGGAAAAGTAAAGAACAAGCGACATTCAGTTGAATCTGAGTACAGTGGCACAGAGACAGATCTAAAGGAGAGTGACTTTGATGACGGAGAGCAGACTCCAGTCAGAAATCCTGGGCCAGCATTCAATCGGAGAAATGCCTTTAAGAACATAAAGCCAGCAGATAAACTGAGCCTAATGAGGGAGAAGATAGAAGCATTTCCTGGAAGCTTTCCTGTCCTTAAAGAAGACAGGAGGCGTCACACAGCGCGGGTAGTGGTGATGGGAGACGATCGAGTGCTGGGAAGACTTTCCCGGGCTTATCACTCTATTCGGTGAGCAGCTGGGTTTTAATGAATACCCTCTTCCCAATAGTGCTACAGCAAAGTGGTGTATGTTACTAAAACCTTTTCTTTAATTTCATTAGGGCCCAACGAGTAGAAGAAAAGAAAATTTACTGAGTACCAATATGGCGGCAACCAATATGACCAAACTGATGTTGGAATGAATATAGACCTTTTCTACGTGGATTTTCCACTAATATTGCACCAATATGATAATGTGAAGTGACTCAAAAAGCTGCTTTCTAAAACAGATGACAAATAATTATTAAGTAATATTTAAGTTAAATATTATATGTCAAAGAGTTTAACATATACATTGTCAACCACTTCCTGCTGACATTGCTGAAAGCTGCTTCTTCCTTCTTAGTCTCTGCTGCTCGCTCACATGGCACTCTGCTGGACAAAATTTTAAGTGACACCAATATAATTTCACAAGCATTTTTTTCTGCATTTACCCCCCCAAAAAATGAAAGTAGGCTTCATATCAGCGCACATTGGATAACACATGCTGATACAGATATATCTGGATTGGCCAATATGCCAATATATCGTTCAAGCTCTAATTTCTGTTTGTGTGTGTGTGTGTGTGTGTGTGTGTGTGTGTGTGTGTGTGTGTGTGTGTGTGTACTTGTGAATGATTCAGCTTTCCATTAATGTTTTTCACATATTTCTCAACAGAGAAAAGGAGTCAAAATGTCTTATTTTGACCAAGAAACTGAACCTACAGTTGTACTACATCCCAGTCACTGATGTGGAGCCTTCGCTCAGTCTACCAGTGAGTTACACTGAGTCACTCAAAGCAACAGTGATTGAATGTACTGTATAAATGTGGAAGACTCTATATGACCCTGCAACGCCTGTTATTCCTCACAGGATAGCCCACGTCAGAAGGAAGGCAGACGGTCACTCGCCTCCTTATTGGGAACAGTGGATCCATGGTACAACAGCAACATTAACAGTCTGGAAGCTGAAATCTCCAAACTGGCTAGAATGGTAACCGTGGATTTAATCAATAGTCTGCAGCAATACAGCTCTGTGAGGCTGTTTCTAGGCACACCAGTGCTTTGGGCTGAATGCTAATGCTAACAAGGACAATGCTAACATGCAGATTTTTAGCGAATAGCTGAGGCCAAACCAGTGACCAGCATTGTCATAGCGCCACACCATTACTCCAAAAATGTAATAATAATAATAATAATAATAGTCATACGTATGTTTTCATATGTTTTCACCTGAAAATAAGAATCGTGTTTTTGTTACCATAATAAGCCGTTTTTACCTACAGAAGATGCGTCTCGTCTTACATTAAGGCGCCATGTTGAACTACAATGTTTCTACAGTAGCCCAGGATGGACAAACCAAAAACTGGCTCTAGTTAGCATTTTTGCAGCAAGTAAGATAAGATAGACTATATTGATCCAGCACTGGGGAAATTTACATAGCAGCTCCACACAACACAACACAACACAATAGATAAGAAAATACACATTAAATAAAAAACAGCATAGAAAAAAACAATATATAATAATAAGGAACCTGCAATCTGCAACTACACCACTAGATGCTACTAAATCCTACACAGTTGTCCTATAAAACACAAGATCAGCAGAATGGTTCATCTGATACTTTCCTCCTTCTGTCTACTGCAGCACTCTAATCACAGTGAGCCATCGCAAAACCTCTTTCTACTGGACACCCTGTGTTACTACCTACGCTGTGGGACGCAGCCAGTTAACCTTCCGATCTACTCGGTTAAGGTACAGTGCAACTGTCACGTGTACAGATATTAAAATTGACATACATGCAAATGTCGAAGACACAGCTTCCACTGAAGCAGCAGAAATACACAGGAGTAGGAGTACATTTTGTTAAAGACATAATGTTGTGTTCATATAATGTGTTGTTGCTACTTTTATTTAATGCTGCTCTAATCAATTATTCTTTATATTAAAAACTGATGAGTGGTGTCGGATGTAGTGGTGAACCCAAAGACAATTAACACCCAACTCTGGGATTTCTCTTAACTCTACAGAGGTTTTTTTCCTTCTTTTAGCTTATCGTTCTGATTTTTTCAACTCTGCTCTCGTCAGACACGTTTCCAGCCACAGCAGGCAGCTGATTTCAGCCAATAAGCTCAGAGAGTCACTGAACACACTCTGTCTAGTGCTTAACGGCAAACAAAGTTAGGATCTAGCTGGTGGAGAAAGTGGAACATCTATCTGCTAAAGAGACAGATATTTTTCTTTGGTGGAGGACAAAAACAGCTAAAGGGAGAGAATATTGGACTTCACCAGGTGAACAGAGACACAACTCCAGCTTACTCCATAACACAAGTTCCACTACCCCCACAAACAAAATAGGTTGATGCAGCTTTAAGTAAAGAATGTAATACCTTTTCCATTACTGGTTGTGCGCACTGCACTGTAGAGTCTGGTAGATACTGGTAGAGTCTTCTAGCTGTGTCAAAACAAATGCGGCACTGATTTATTGATGCTACACATGTACTTCCTGTTTTGACGAAATACCATATATGTTTAGATGACCTGTTCCAGCTGTGATGTGACCTCTGTGGTGGAGGATGTGTTTGTGTCTCATCTGGAGGCAGATATCCCAGAGTTCAGGCACCTTAAAGAAAAGTCCTCAAGTATGTTTCTGAATCTCTTTCTGTGTGTGTGTGTGTGTGTGTGTGTGAGTGTAAAGATACTACCACTTAAAATAAGGTGTTGTCTTTGACAGAGGAGCCCTCCGCACGCCGAAAGAAGTCAACAGTAGAAGTCCTTGGGGCGGTCATCTCAGTCAGTTATACAAAGGTATAGTCATTTTTAGTGGTCATTATTAATATTGTAATACTTTCCATTTAGCATTAGCAGCAGGATTTAGGCTAACTATTACCTCCTCAACAGACCTCTTTAAGCAAACGAGAAGTTGTAAATGGAGAGGCACCGATGACATATGGCGTGGTGATCACATCAGAGCCGGCAACTGTAACATCAGGTTAACCTTTCTATGGATTTGTATTTATAATAAATTAAAAAGCAGATTTATGTTAATGCAAGGAGAAGCCTTCAAAGAACAACAAATGTTCAGTAATTATTGTCACTTTGTGCAGGTGAGGATTACCTTTCTGTCAGGTTTGACAGTGTGAACCCAGGATACAACACAGTAAGAAGTTATTTATCTCTAATTGGGAAAAGGGCTAATTAGATTATTTAGTTGAAGTAACTGAACCTTTAATGCAAATTGTTAAACGTACTAAACCTTTTCTGTTTTGATTATAGACAATCCAAACCCGAAACATCAGCATCAAGACGTTTGAGCATCGAACACTCTCTGTGTGCCTGGACAAGGACTCTTGCAGGACATACACTGATGTCCAAAGGTCATTTAGGACACTACAACATTTCTGATAATAATTTTTCTTGTACTCTAAATTAAAGTGTAATACAATTTACTGTCATCCCTTAACAGGATAGAAATCTCTCCTTGCTTGGACCCAGGATGCAACATCCGGTCCAGGTCAGGTGTCAGCAGCAAACAAGAGCTGCCGTTGAGCAAGTATCTGAACAAAGTCCTGTCACTGCCAATCAACACCTTCACTGGTGTGAACCTCTGAGGGACACAAGCTGTCGACTTCATGTATACATGTGTGAGTTATTGTGTGTTACACAGTGGTCAGTGACAGAACATTTGGTAACTATTTCAGACTAGTTGTAAGCAGATATGTTAGTATGTGTTTATAATATATTTGTCAAAAACTGTGAGTCCTGCTGTTGACACCCAGAAGAGACTAGTGTATAATTATGAATGACAATATAGTAAAACACATTGTTTTAGTAATATACAATAGCAGAAGTTATAAACAATGAAAAATATGTAATTAAAAAAAAAAAAAATGCCTTTGTTATTGTAATTTTTAGCTCATGCTTCTTCTTATGGTAACGATTTATAATATGAGATCAAAACATGTGCGTAAAAAGGAGTTTTTAACTGGTTATGAAACAGTCTCAATTTAATACTGATGCCTCTGACCTATATAAACAAACAAGACCATCAGCGAGAAGACTGGCTATTTCTATATAATTATTCCTAATGCCTGTCACGGATGGGATTCAGTCGGATTATTAGAGTAACCGACTGATCCAATAACATTATAATATAATGCTGAGTCTTGTACTTATGCTTACAGTTGATCCTTCTTTTATAGCCTAGAGTGAACTTCCTCAGTCTGTTATAAAGACTTGATATCATGCTCTCAGTTGTAACAGAAGAAGAGAATCGTGTAGTTTTCACTGTGGAAGAACATACAGCTGTCTATTTAAAATAAATTCTGTGTCTGTGTCTGTGAACTAGTGTTGAAATCATTAGTGGGCTGAGAGCTCCTCCTCTGAGTGTTCAGACAGAGTTTGTATTCAGGTCTACTGATGGTTTGTGTTATTGTGGCTGTCTGGCTCAGTAATACACAGCAGAGTCTTCAGGCTGTCTAAGTCAATACTGAACTTGTTTTTCAGTGAATCTTTGTAATATGTACTCCATCCAACACCTGCCCTCTGATCCACTCCAGTCCTTTCCCTGCAGGCTGTCTGATCCAACCTGTGGGATAGCTGCCCAGAGAATAGGAGACCTGACAGGTGATAGTCAGACACTGACCAGGCTGCACAGTCACAGAGTTCTGACTGTGTCTATTGTTCACACTTCTGTGACGGCCCCTGCCTAATCAGCTGCTGCGGATGTGATGGACAAGTTACTGTTTTTCCTATGTGTCCTCAAAGGTACCATGCAGCATCCAGCCACATTTGGAGCACCTGGGCCAAGCAATCCCAAAGGATAAAAGCTATGCTCTGGCTCTCTCTCATCTGGATCCATCCCCACCAACGCCTACATCTCACATTCCTCACACACTCACATCTACACCACTGATGTTACTGACTGATACACTTCACATTTGCACTTAATAATGAGTTGTTTGCATTTACTGCAATCATCATCCATTGTGTCCATATCTGTATTTGTCATGGCACTTCACACCTGTGGAGGAAAACATGTTGAATATTAAACCAGTGAACGGTCAGTGTGCTGTGATCATACTGTCAGTCTCTCAGTGAGACAGTTTGCATATACGAGGACACTGACAGGCTATAAAAAAAAAGATCAACCGTAAGAACAAGCACAAGACTCAGAATTATATTATAATGTTATTGGATCAGTGGGTTACTCGAATAATCCAGTCATACATGAATGCTGCAAATAGCAACACACTTCATTTGGGGTCACCATTTGCAATTGGTGTATTTTACAGCGTCATTCTTTGCGGATTGTAGCTTAGGGTGGGCCGTGCTGGGAGCGTGACTGATGGTGGTGGCTATATAATTGTGACATCACAACCTTATGGACGTCCTGGCGGCTCATTTGAAGGCATCATTCTGAATACAGGCTGTGTGCATTTCTCCATGGTTGTCAGTGCAACGCCAGAAGTATATCCTCTAAAAGCTCTGGATTTGCATTGGGATTTGGTAAAGGAGGGGCTTATTGATATATTTGATATATTTCAAATACATCTGTCAGATTAAAATATGTCAAGCTGAATTTAATGTGTTTTTCAGCAAACATGGACTCTGACCACCTTCCTGTTTAACATGCTACTGGGTCTTCTTATCTCATAATGTTTCTTTAAGTGGACAGAGCATATTCAAAACCTCACTCTGCCAATATATTCCATGTAAATGGATGATGTAACTCAAAAGAGAAGATAAATACCACTTTATTAAACTTTTTTTTCATGAAAGTCTGTCACTTACATTGCAAGAGAAATTATGTTTTATTTTGTGTGTGAATCAAATATGTCTGTATGTAGAGTACATACATGAACAGGATCAGTGTTGTTCATACACAACATACAAAATGTGCAAAAACTGATTTCATGGCATTATCTGGATCATGCTATCAGATAATGGGGATACAGACAGAATAAATTCACTATTGGAAATTAATTTTCACTGAATATGTTTTTTTCTGGAATCAAATTGGTCATGTGCTCATTAATTTCATTCATGGGCTTCTCATGCAACACAACAAACTATTCAGCTTGAAATGTGATCACTGTGTGTCGATTGAGAAGAGAATAGCTTCTAATAGCTTCTAATTTTGACAAAGCATATAATAGGCTGATGATGTATGTGCTGCAGTCATTTATTGATAATGAGATAACTTGCATGCTGAGATTATACAGCATTGTATTGTTTTGATTAATACCACATTTTAATCAGAACTTCTGGCTATAACATTATTGTTTATTTTTTTCCACATATTTAAAGGAATTACTACAGTATGTGGCTCTAAGACTAGACTTTTTCCCTCTCCACTTTCACATCTGTTGTATTCAGTTTTGTTTAATTTAGTGATGACGGATAGAAAGCTTTATCCAGGCAGTCATTTACTTGACTAGCACCACATTAAAGGAGTCAACAAGGAGTGCAAACAATAAGCAGACAGATATTTATTCTACATTTCCAGATGAATAAAGTTTGAAAGATGAGATAGCTATTTGAATCATTAGTAAACAAATTATTCTTATGACAGTAAAATGCATTTATGACATTTAGATGCATTTACCGATATTCTTTATTAAAAAGGTTTTTAAAAACAACAGAAATGTCTGAATGTGTATATGAAATTGTGTATATGTACAGCATTAAGCTTTTCAGGACCAAAGCTGCAGAGATAATCCATATGAGACCTCATCCCTCCTCTCTGGCATACACAGATCACTGCTGATCACGCTTTACACACATACACATGCTCGCACAGGAAGGACTAAACTGAACAATATAGAAATAAAAAAGATATTCACAAATCCAAGAAGCCCAGGATCCCAACTAAGGTTTTCATCATGAGTCTTAAACAAGCCTGCATCTTTCTCAGAGGAGGAACCAGGAGACATGTGAGTCAAAATGATTTTAGGGTTTTACAGTACAGGTCGTGGTTTTATGCTCGTTTTTATTAAATTTTTGTTGTGTTTTTGTTTGTTTGATTTCTTATTTTGTTTTGTATTTTCTACTGTTTTTACCTGTCTTTAGCTTAAGAGTTTTATAAATTTCTAATGAATTAGGTATATCTATACTGTATGTCATTATTGTGTTTTTCATTGGTTTACCAGGAACATAAATCTTACTTTCATCTGTTAAACATTTATGACACAAATAATATTTTGTTCTTATTGTCATTCTTATATGGTGTTATTTGAGGTTAATGGGAAAAGAAGCTTAGATGAGTACTCTGCGTGGAGTAGAGGTGCGAGGGCAAACTTTTTAGCTGGTGCATTAGGTGGATGCATTTGTTTTCAGTACTTATATTACACACATATATATATGAAAACCTATTTGCATAGGTTGTACTCTTTTTTGACCAGTAATTGAAATTTATAAGGAATCTGCCCTAAAAAAAACATATATAAGCAAGGATTTAACAAATGTCATATTTACAGATGTTAGAATCACATGAACAGAAATGTGTCTGGATATTATTGCCAGCACGTGTTCACAGAATGTACAGAAATACACATGAATGTGTGTGAATCAGAAACAGCAGGCTGATTTATATATGATATATTATATATGATGTAATATATTATAGTCCAGCATCCTTTCTGTGGACAGTGCTAAAGAAATATAAACCCACTCACATATTCAGAATTGGTCTTTGATTTGAATTATTTTACAATATTATTATATTGTCACTTGTATATGTACAGTATATATGCATAAGCACAACAATATTATAGAGGCACAGAAATTAAAAGCCTATGCAAAACAATAAACATCTTAATATCAGGAGTTACAGTGAGAACATACTGTGTCATTTAGAGAACTTTGGGGGGAAGAATGTGACATATTGATCAATGGTAAAAATGAAGTGCATCTAAACTAAATTAAAACTAAAAACTCTAGCTGTGATATGTGGGCAATTTCACCATTTCGACAAGTGTGTTGAGTGTGTTTATTACACATTTCATCTGCAATACATATGTATATATTTATGTATGGATAGAGAAATTAGATTTTATTTTTTGTATACACAATGTAGATAACTGTGGCTATAACCATATATACTACTGTGTATAAAACACACTAACTTTTATGTCCTTGGCATTATTGTTTTGCAGACAAGAGCTCTGACACAAGATGAGATTGAAGGTAACTGCTGCTTTCAGATATATTGATACCGATATAGAGTGCTGTATAATGTTGCATGCACATACCTTTCTAAATTTTGTCTCCGTATGTTCTCTAGAGTTGCGTGAAGCTTTTGTAGAGTTTGATAAAGACAAGGATGGTTTAATAAGCTGTAAAGACTTGGGGAACCTGATGAGGACCATGGGTTACATGCCGACTGAAATGGAGCTCATAGAACTGAGCCAGAACATCAACATGAACTGTGAGTAACGTCCTGTAATTTAAGTGGAAATAACTAAATATGTCAAACTCCATTGTTGTTCATTACTAAGATTATGTTGGGCTGATAAAAGTGATTAAAAACATAATCCGTTGTAATATGGGTGTTTCCCTTTTTTTTAATCAGTGCATTACACAAGGATAGACAGATACAACAAAATCATTTTGAAGCCAGTTTTGTATGTTTTAGAGAATTACAAAACTAAACTACTAAAACTAATAAACTACTATTTTTATTTTTGCTAGAACATCAAAATATAATCTTCAAGACTATCATTTTGAAAGTTTCCGGAAATGTGTTTTTCAGGCGTGTCTCTGGAGACAATACGTGCATATTTCTTTCTTGAAAGAAGCCTTCCCAACATTGTCTGTAGACTCATTGTTTGTGAGTGGTTCACATAAATTGTACAGCAAGGCACAGATAATCATCTTAGTTATCATGTATTTGTATATCACATTGTTGAATCTGAACCATCCTATGAACATTTATGAAACCTGACTCAACACTGTCAGCATTTCACCCCACTGAGACTTTAAATTAAGTCAGTTCAAATAGATTCAAAGATAATTGGCCAGCAAGAGTGTCTGCCTATAGTTATATCATTTGTCTTTTCACAGTGGGAGGACGGGTGGACTTTGAAGATTTTGTGGAACTAATGACCCCCAAACTTCTGGCTGAAACAGCAGGGATGATTGGGTTGAAGGAACTTAAAGATGCATTTAAAGAGGTGAGCTCAACATACCTATTCTCTCCTTTTGGTCTTTGGCACCCCATGGTGGATATTAAATGAACATACTGTAAAAACTGAAATCTGGCAAAAAGATGACTGCAATATAATATATTTCTCCTCTCTCCTACAGTTTGATATAGACGGTGATGGTTCTATCACATCTGATGAGCTGAGACATGCCATGATAAAGTTATTAGGAGAACAAACCAGCAAAAATGAAATTGAGGCAGTGGTCCGAGAAGCTGACAACAACGGGGATGGAACAGTTGACTTTGAGGGTGAGATACAAGGAAATATAAACACACACATACACACACACACACACACACACACACACACACACACACACACACACACACACTAATTTAGTCTTTTTTTATTGCCTTGAAGTAACATTAATTGAATCAATAATCTTTGGTTAATATAAATAGCTGCGGTTTTAAAAGTGTTGTTAAATAAAGACAAATAAAGAAAATAAGAAAATAACAGGGCTTTGGTACTGTAGCTGCCTCACAAGTGTGTCTTCACACCTGAAGGCATCTGAGCCGTATTTGTTATTATTTTCACCTGTGCTTTTGCTGCTATGACAAGTCACAACTAGCCTGACTGCCCCAGATGGTTTGTTACTTGGATCCATCTGGGAAGTTGTTGTTGTAAACTGTTAGGAAAAGGGCAGGCACTTTAAGAAAATACTAGCTGGTGATTGGATGGACCATCGGTCTCTTACCATCTTTCACGGGTGAACTTCAACCAATCAGATCAACAGATCATATAAGATAGTCAAACTCCTACCAAAGTTAGTCGGGAGAAGACATCTAAAACATCTTTTCTATTGAGAAAAGCCTTCAGTGCCATTCTGTGCTCTTCTTTCGATGAAGAAATACACTGCTGATATAACTGAAACCAGCAGCATCTACTGAACAAACAGTCACTTCCCCCACAAGTCGTCCACACACACCTAGCTTTAAACCATGACCCTAGCCCATGCCATAGCTGCCAGTAGTTCCTCAAAGGACGCTGATTGGTCTTAACCACAGTGGTTTGGACACAAGCACATTGATTGAAACCTAGCAAGATGGATGTGATCCTGGGATTTTGTGAGACCAGCTGCCTTGCAAAGTTAACAACTGCCATGATAAAAAAAACCTTTGTTAAAATAATTTGTTTTGTCAAATGTTATTTGATTTTTGTTCAAATATCCAGTTTTCTTATTGTTTTTATTTATATATTAATATTTGTAATTTGCTAGGTAGAATGGGGAAGCAGAAAGTATATGTAGTTTGGAGTTCTAGCTTATCATTATGTGTTTGCTACAAACCTACAAGAATTAAGCTAATCAGTATCTTGTCCATTCTCTTACAGAGTTTGTTAAAATGATGTCGCAGAAATGAGGACAACAGAATGAATGGGTGACTGTGACTGGAGAGCATTTTTTTATTGAATTGTATGCTGATGATAGCCTACTTCTTATGACTAATTTTACCTTTTCTTCTTGTTGTTTAATTAGCATCTGCTTCAGACACACTTGTGTGGAGCTCCTTAGTTTCAAGTAAAAAACGTTTGTTCTTTTTGTTAAGATTGATGATATGAAATCATTACAATTTAAATGGTAGCTCTAAACTGCCAAATGTTCAGTTGAGCAAATATGAAAGGTTTGTTGTTGAATCCCCCAGACCTGTCCCACAGGGCAGTGAGTGTACACATCATTGTTGACTGTTCAAAGAGGAAGAACAAATAAATATCTGAAATTAGAGGTGTCTGTGATATTTGCATGTCAGCAGAAGTTGAAGCACATTTTGGAAATTTGGAGATGATGAGTGTGCTGCATTGTGGGTTGGCCTTGGAGAACTAAAGCAAAAGCAAATGGTAAAAATGTGTTGTTCTTTTGATGGACTGAACATCTGGATTACATTTGGAACAGGGAACTACTAAACATGCTATAATGTTACATGTTGGAAGTATGTGTGTGTGTGTGTGTGTGTGTGTGTGTGTGTGTGATATGAGTATCTTTTACTGGACATTGCCCTCTTTCTTCCCTCCATAAATACAAGTAGTTATATATATATATATAAATATATATATATATAGAATATAGACTAACACCTGGATGATCGAAGACTTAGCACTGTTAGTCTAGTTAACTGGCACAGTGATATATGTCTGAGCACAGAAATAAATTACTTTGGGTAAACTACACAACCCTCTCCATATCTGCTCCCTATTTTAAGACTGGACATTGTCTCAAAGGTGCTGGGATCTGGGATCTTGAATGACCCTTATATGGATGTAAAAAAAAAAAAAAACATAATTCTTTTTTCTTTACTGGTCTGTGGGATATGAAGCTCATGCCAAGTTCCTATGGGATGGATGGTAAGGACTCATGTTTATGACTTACAAGTATATTGACAACTCAAGACTGTTGTATGATAACATAGTTGATCATGTAAGGATTTAAGAATACTGTGGTTTGACAATAGCACTATATTCATTAAACTTTGGTTTAATTATATTGAAGAACAGACTTTGGCTGACATGAGGTGTCCACCTGTCAGGAACTTCCATATTACTAAGCACTAAGTCAGATATTTTGGAGCTTCCCAGTCGTAATTACAACTAAGATGTTGACATGAACACTAATTAAAAGTCGGACACTCATAAATATAATAACCAGTAGAATGGCAGGACTCTACAAGGACACAGGTGTGGGCTGAGGACAAGCCAATGAGTGGTCTGCTTCTCTTTATAAGTTACAGTTGAGCAAACCCCACCCATCTTAACTCCACTGGGGGAAAAAATAATAAGGAAGATGAACCCATAGCATTTATCGAACATAGATAATGATGTGTGGATGACCTGGGAGAGAAAATGAACTGTGTGCATGCTTCTTCCTGAGGATGATCAGTTGATATTTTCCCATTTTAGTATTTTGATTGTGGACAGTGACAACAGATCTTCCTCAGTGTAGCTCTTCACCTACTGTAAGGAGTGTCTGCAACAAATAAGAGGACATTATCAATCAGCTGAGAATGTTCAGCACTGACCTCCCAAAAGTAATGGTTGACTCTGACACAGTCCCTTTGATGTGACTGCAGCCTTGACCCTGGCATAAAAACCATCTGTCCTCCCAGTGGCACCTGGAGAACAGGATCTCAGCAGGCCCAAGTGTCCTCTGCTGCCACTTCTTCACCTCCCAGGCCTCTGTCCCAACAGGGTGTAAAGGCAGTCCACCATCTGCTTGAACTTTCTTCAATAGTGTATTCATAAATGTGTTTGCTGGAAGTTTTTTGTATGATCATACTTAGATAAAAATGAAATGCAAGTTATTTCTCAGATGTTTGTTAGTTGTCCTTTTTTTCATTGTAAATTACATGTAATGTCTAACCCTTATCCTCCGCCTCCACTTGTTGCAGCAGGGGTGACAAATAGGTCTGATAATAAATTGTTTATTTGTGATCAAGAAGCTTGATCTTGCAAAGAGACATTTTGCTCAGGGCTTATGAAGTCATTAAACTATGGTATGTAAATGTTAAATCAAAATATTAAAGGTATGAGTACTAATGCTTACGTCAGTGATTTTCAAACATCAACACATACATTTAGCTCACAGAGACCTAGGAGTTTACAGATCTGTGTGTGATCAACCTGCATTTATGAGAAAATACATTTTTGATAATAAGGCTGTTAAAAAAGGAAAATAAGCTATGAAAAACTGCAGATTGCGTCAGCCAGTTAATCTGTCAGTCTGTCCATCTATCCAACACTTTGTTCTCGAACAACATACTGCCTTCCAGGTTGGCGTAGATATTATGAGGTCCCAGAGGATCATCTGTAATGATTTTGTCTGGCACTCGAGCCAAAATTTGACCAGCATGTTGTTCAAGCCTGAGTTGTGGGCTTCAGTGGCACATACTAATTTAATCCATGTGTTTTTTGTGGGGCATGAGTGTGCAAAAAACAAAAATAAAACTCCATAATAAACATTTAATGTGAGTAATATTTGAGTACAACTGATTACCGGAGTATTGCTCCTTTATGGGATGTACTTACCATAATAGACAAGCCCATATGCCTTATTAAATACATCTTAACTAAACCTAAATTAATAGAGTATTGTATTTACCAAGCAGATTATTCCACATTTTAGCAAGGATGCCTGATATTATTTCTGAATGGCACATTGCCAACAATAATAATAATAACAGATTTATTTGCCAACCACTTTGTTCATTTGGCATCTTTCACTGAAAAATAATCCCTCTAAGGTCACTAATGCTGTTGCATAACAAAAGGCCAACATGAAAATTGTTGAAAGTGATAATAGCTATTTTTGTCTTTTAAGTAAATGTGCTGGTCACAGTCTTTTGAGGCCATAGTAAAATGTCAAGATTGTCAGTGAAAAACATTGATGTGTGTTGTAGAATCAATGTGATAACATACAATTGCTGTGAAACAAAAGAATATTGCTCCATCAACCTATGTGGTGACCAGTGTTAATGCAAGATATAAAACATCGTGCAAGGGATTTGCAAATGCCATCGCTGCTTTGAAAATATTGCAGTGACACAGCAAGGTACATAACCTTGCCCTGTGATGATGTGGTGGATAGTTGAGCAAATTTAAGACAAGGTTTTTTTTTAAGACTGTCATACCTTAATGCTAACCTATGACAGTTATTCTCAACATTTGAGTTGTTATATTATTTGCTTGTGAATTTGTCAATGATTTTAAGCTTCCCATTTAGTCCCACACAGCTCATAGAATGATTGTCAAGTGTTGAACGAATCATACATCATGAACCAACATACATACAACTACATCTAAACAATCTCAGGAATAATCTGCCTCTCTGGGGTGGATTAGTTCAGACTCTATAATCCTCATCATGGGACCCTTAGATGGACAGATGGCAGATAAGACAAAATCACCACTCTAATTCTCATCTACTGACTGAAAAAAGTAACCAAAAAATAAAAAATAAAAAGCTTAAAGCAAGCTTAATGAACCAGAATGTATTTTCAAAATGTTGTTTTAGTGTGTTTAAATCAACGGACACTACTGACCATTTGAGAGTTTTATGGGAAATGAACACATTTAAATTTCATTTTTTATTTTTTAATAAACTAAGTAGTCAACAGGCTAGTTTCTCTAATAAAGATAATATACTTGAATACTAGTTATTAGTATTTTGAGTCCTCAAAACAATCAGCTCTGCTCCATGCATACTGCATCAACAAAAGTGTATAACTCTATCACTCTATTAATCTATACACTGAGTCAACATTGATTGATTTGTTATTTATTTGTTATTTAGATTCCAAGAAAAACAGAACTGGCAAAACCCTGATGTGTGCAATATGTAAACAACCAATTATATAAATAAACAAGAAATAGATTTATAGATAGAAACATACAAGCATATATTGAGGATAGTAAAACAAAGAGTAAAATTAATCACAGTATGTAAAAGTTTATATAAGTTTGGCATTCATTTTGGAAAACAAAAATAAATTTAAATTTACATTTATATGATTTTCATGTTTTCACAGTTTTTTGGTTGAACCATAACATGAGCACATGCATCAGCAGCTCAAAACAAAGACCAGTATCAGGATAGATATGTTTCACATGCAAGTAGCATTTACTAGCATAGTAATACGATTTACAATAGTTAACACTACATCTGCTCTTCTTAGGTTAGCTCTCATTGTGCTTTCAAGTGATGTCAGTTCGTAGTTTGCGGCCTAATTGTCTAGCATGTAACCTCGTCTAACGCCATCCATATTGACGCATTCATGTGGCACTTCCTGGTGTAGACCATAAATCAAACACCACTTGAAAGCGTGGCTGATGGCTTGTGTAATTCTTAGGGCAGATTCACACAGTGATTCATCGACTGGAATGAGATGCATGACCCACAACAAGCAGGGCTAATTTAAGGCATCCCTGCATGCTGTATATTGGTAGTGCAGGAGCACATTCAGAGGTCGGGGCTGAACATGAAGTCCAGAGCTTGTCTCTCGGCTGCAGCCACATTTGGATGCCAGAGGTCCACACTCAGAATGACTCGGGGTCCAGCATCTGGAGGTCCTTTAGAAATAGAAACAAGCCATTTAGATTCAACTGTTGGGAAGAACAACAATAAATGGAATCACTTAAAAATAGAGGTAAATGCATTGCATCGCTTTTTTTTTTTTGTGCTTGGTTTAATAATGAGAATTAGAGTAGAATGTAAAAAGCATTTGTTTCCCATTACATTTGATGTATTACAAAATCTTACAAAATATTGTGTTGACTTCACTGAAATTCCATTTTATAAATGAATAAATGCCATTATCTCACCCAGAAATACAATATACGGTCACAAATTACAAAAAAAATATTTTTTCAAAGTTGTATGTGATTCACCAACCCTTATGGGAGACAGTGTGAAGGAACGAGTCATCAACCAGGAGGCAGTGTCCCTCTGACCAGCACTGAGGCTCCCCTCCAACCACCAGCTCACACGAGGGTGGAGTCTGCAAACCTACAAAAGTGATTTCTGTTTTTAAACTTTGGAAACAAAAATATTGTGTTATCCCTCAGCTAAGAAGGCACTGCACTCTATTCCTGTCGATGTTTAAAGGATTATAGCCAGACGGATCACTACACAAAATAGACTATGGGGAAATGAACCTCAACCCTGACCCACAAAGTACCACATTATGCAGTGGTTTAGTATTTTATCCGGTCATTTTCTTTTCTTTTCTTTTTAAGTAAAGTCTGACATCAATATCATATTAGTTGAATTGGTCATATAATATGATCATTTTCCGGTTCATATTGTTGAGTTTCATGTAAGCTAGGGATTGCTCTGCAGTTAATTCCAGTATAGTGTGTAAAGCTAAAGTATGATTCAGTAGATTTTTTTGGAAGGGTCAAGGACTGGTCTTAAGATGCAGATCAATGCTGATAAACTACTAGTGTAACTCTTTAACTCACCAAGATGACAACGTAGGCGTGTATTGGTGGGTCCATATGAGCTCCCCAACGTTGCTCCGGGTCCCAGCAGCCAAAATCCAGCAGATCCCAGTGAGTTGCTGCTTATAAAAGTACGTAGAGAGAGAAGTGTCCTGTAGGTGCAGGGGCAGGAGCGACAGTTTCCTGCCACAGAGACACCTGCAGTGTACAGAGGAAACACTGCCTGGCCCTAAAACAGACAGTGGGAACACAATTCACACAAGACTCAGATGAGACACAAACATTAGAATTAAACAGCATCAATCAATGTATCCTCCTATATCAGAGCTTGGATTTTAAATTGAGAAAATGTGAACAATGCTAACAATAAAATCAATACATAAATTATACTTTTGTTTAGACTATTTTTATTTGGCTCACTTGAGGTTGACTGAACCATCCTTATGTACAATCCAATAAATGACAATTGCCTATACTATACTTACAGACCTAGAGAGTATTGTTTTTTTTTATTAATGTTGTACATAAGAAATTGGAAGTGTCCTGAAATCAAAACACTTTGGCTGTGCAGTTATGGAACAAACTGGTGGAGACCTTCAGTGTTTGATATTTTATGTATGTTAAGGTTTTAAGTTAAAGGGGACCATTGGTGTAATTTTTAAACTTAGAAACTTTATTTTAATACAAATTTGAATAACATTTAAAACGTTTTATTCCATAGATTGATTCCATAAGTAATAACAAGCTTTGTAGTATTGTTAAGTGCAAAGAAACTAAAGCTCTGCAACCGAAATATCAGGATATTCAAATTAATGTTGAATTGAATCAATTGTAACACAAGAAAAAATGACCCTCTTTCTCCATCCACACAATGCTACAGTTGGTTTCAGCTGTAGCATTGTGCCAGTTTCTTTCACACAGTACTTTGCACAACCAATATTTTTATATTCTTTATATTTCTATTTCATACAAAGCATGCTTGCTCTGCCCCTGACTCATTGTGGGCTGGAACAATTTTATTGTGTACCTTTGGTCCCAGATAGGTCCAGCCTAATTTTGGGTCAATGCCCCGCTGGTAAACAGCTTTGAATTCAGCCAAGATTACAGAGTAGTTGGCCTCTAAGACCTCAATGTCATGCCGATGAGCATCCCGTGGGAAGAAAGGAACACTTGGGACATCTGGCAAGAAGAAGAGATGAGGCTTCTGTATAGCAGAGTGATCATTCAGCCTGACCTATGGGGAGAAAAATGAGAAATCACTGATCTGTTCTTGACAATGTTTCCTTCCGCTATCATTTGGAGGAACAATTTTTTCAGTTGAACAATTTTTTCAGACCAAATCAGGTTTTAGGATGATTACTTTTATGCAGTTATGTATGCTTTGAAAACAAACCGACCACAATGCAGTTCATTGTAGTACATTAATAAACAACTAATATACACAATATTTACTTTACGTAGGAATCACCAGCTTATTGCTTGTGTGGAATAAACTTGTACCTGCTCACGGAGGCCCTTATGAATGCGGCCCATGCCCACCCAACTGTAGCGCTTGGCATACTCTTGCAGCGCTGCGTACAGTTTCTTGGCTTCTGCAGATG